ACTAACAGAGTTAGTTAGAACATAGCTCGAGTTTAAAATTTAATATAATTTTAAAATCATTTTATTCTATATTCAATAAAAAAGTTTTTTTCGGCTTTTAAATTTTTTTATATTTTAAGTTTTTTAAGTTTTTTTTTCTCTTTTGACAATATCTTTTTATTTAAATACTGTTTAAATACTAATTTAGTTCAGCTTAGTTCTTAAAGCATATTTTTAGAATACCTAAATTTTGAAACATTAAAATATCCGTATTCAAGAGCTCTAAAAAATTGTTTTATCCATTAAAAAACAAGGGGTGTGACTGCTCTCACTTTCTGTGTCAGCCTTATATATATTTTAAATGTGTTGGCCCATTTGTAAAAATAATAAAAAAAAAATGAAAATTTTAATTTTTTTATTTTTCAAATTTTCAATTCAAAAACCATGATTTGGAGTTAAAAAGATGGTATATAGATGGTATATGTGATCTGGCTCAACTTTTGACTGGTCATTCCAATTGACTCAAAAATATTTTTTAATCCTTGATCCCAAATACCCCAAATAATCAATCAACTAGTCATTTTAGCTTGAAAATGTATAGTTTTTTAAAATTTTCAAAGAACTCTTATACATAATGAAATAAACATAAAATTTATATATATATATATATATATATATATATATATATATATATATATTAATGATGTAAACCTATGTAAGCTTCAGTTTGGCCAAAGCCCGGTCAATTTTTTGCCAAATCTATGGCTTCGGCAAAAAATTTTAAGTAATTAAAGTTATAAGCTACTGTTGTACAAGTTATAAAAGTACGCTAATTGCCAGTGTCTAATTAAGTTATAAATTCGGGACTACAGAGTTAAAGTTGGAGTCTATTCCATATACTTAGTATTATTTACTCCCAATTGTCTTGTTATGGAGGGGATAATAATAAATAAGTAAAAATATTTTGAAAATAATAATAAAATTAGGGAAGGTCCTCATACACTTTAAAGGCTTTCAAGTGTGACCTTAGATGAAGTGAATCAGCATTTTTATGCAGAATAAAAACCTTATAATTTAAAACAAATTAAAAGTTTTAAAAAATAAAATAGAAAAAAACCTTAATTTGTATTATGTAACGAATTCATATTAATTATTGTGTGGGATTACCGCAAGTAGAACAAAATTTGGTTTCAACATTTGACCTATAAACCTTAGTAATCTCACTTTAAAGAAGATTAAAGATACGTTGCTACTATTTTAAATTGTGTGTATGTTTAATTTTTTTAAATTTTATTTAACCATATTAATAAAAATTTACAAATTTTCATCGTAAATTTACAGAAATTGGTTAGGTGTCACTTATAGATACAAACTAGTCAATGGAGTGACACATAAAAAACATAAAGTTCTCAACAATAAAAAAGGAAGAACAGCAAATGAAATATAAATGAGGAGAATAAAAAAAGAAAAAAAAAGTCAACAAAAACTAGATAAATTAAAAGAAAAAGAAAAACAATGATAATAATTATCCTTGCTCTTTTATTAACATTATAAATACTTCTAAATTGAATTTATATATTAAACATGTAAACCTATGTTCTGGTTTCTTTTTATGATATTATGAAGACTTTTAAATTTTATTTAAAATAAATTAAAGGTTGAAGCTTTGTTTAGGTTAGTTAGGTTTCAAGACATAGGTTGAAGCTTGATTACTTTGAGTTCTTATATTTATCTTCAAAATTTATTTTAATTAAATAAACAATTTAAATCAAATAAATATCAGCCTGCTCAGTCCCTGTTTATTTATAAATATAAAGTAAATAATAATATAATTATAAATAAAAAATTTATAAAGTATTCTATTTATTTTTTTATTTAAAGCTCACTCTACAGAGTTGTTAGAGTTGTTTGTTTACTATGGAAGCTTTTATCACGGATAGTTAATATTTGATTTCAGATACTGATGCAGATTTATCCATTACAAAGACAGAAGAAGAATGAATAGTAAGATTTCAGAGTGTAAAAGATTAAAAGAAGCTAAAGAAAATGTTATGTAGTGTAAAGTTAAAAATAAAAAAAAAATAAAAAATTATACTTAAAAGTGTGTAAAGAAGAAGTTAGAGAGAAATCTATCATTTGTACTTTTTTTTAGCAGCAGGTTCACAACAGTTGTAGTGGAATACAAAATGGTCTTAACTTGGGTTTTTTTTAGTTTAGAAATTGTTCATTTAATGAATACAGAGAAGTAAAACAAAGTCATTGAAATGAATAGCAATAAAAAGATAAAGTGTGTAAGATTTTTTATGTTGTAGATACAACTAGATCAGCTAAGAGTGTTTATTTAAAGAAAGAGTGATCAAGTGCAAAAGATAAATTTACTCTAGTAATGTTCAGAGATTTTTATCCACTTCTATTAACAAAAGGTACATTAAAAATAAAAATAAAATATACAGCACAAGAAAAGATGCTATATAACATTAATATGGTTTGCACACAGAAAAAGTAGAACTAGAAGTAGAAAAATTTGGGGAGAATGTTTCAAAAAAGCTAAAGTTTAAAAAAAAAACGCTCGGTGCGGTCAAGTATCAGAAATGACATAATAAGAAACTTTCAAACAGGGGCGCTGAGAGCTTTTGCCCTGCCTGGGACAGCAACCCTGACTGGTGTCCTCATTTTTATACAATTTTTCTATATTATTAGTCAAGGATCTTAGTTTTGGTACCTTTTTTGTTTTACATCCCTGCTGATCTAAATGCTGATTAAATTTTAAGCATATATAGTGCCGAAGCTTCAGCTTCGGCAAAATTTTAACTTCTGTACATCCCTAATATATATATATATATATATATATATATATATATATATATATATATATATATATATATATATATATATATATATATATATATATATATATTGTTATTATTATTATTTCAAATTTATATTTAAATTATATATTTACTATTATTTCAAATGAAATGTGGCTACACATTTCATTATTGGATTTTCAAAAAAGAATTCTTTGATTTTGTTAACCTTTTTACCTCACTGCAGTTGTAGATTGCAGTGATAAGATATTTCAGTGTTTTCGGCCTTTAAAATAATATTTAAAGTTGGCTAAGAATAAATGGTTGGCTTCCAATCTAGGGAGGACAATGAACATTTACAATTTACCTCAACTAGCATTGTAAGCATATGTCATACACAATAAAAATGTTTGCAGTGGGTTTCAAAAATGTGGATCTATCGATTCAATAGGAAAATATTTGGGGAAAGTGAATTCATATCATCTAGTATTAGTAACAGACCTCTTTCAGTCAAGCAGTCAAAATTCAATAATCAGATAATTAACATTTATACCAAAAAGCAATTGATTTTTTGTAATTATCAGTCAAAATAGTTCGGAAACCATTCACCCATACCCTAAATCACCTCCCAGATATGATTCTAGAAAAAGAAGACAACAGAGTAAAAGCATTATATTTATTTTTATAGGGTAAAAGTATTATATTTCATATATATTAATTAAAACTTCAGAAAAGACAGTAAGATAAAAAATGTTGAAATTGAAACTAGTAAAAATAACAAAAAAACACAAAAGAAAAATTGATTTCTGAGAAGTGAAAGAAACAGTAAATTCAGAAAAAATTAAAAAAAAAAAAAAAAAAACAGAATTTTTAATTGTGTCATCTGTAAAAAAATGCACCCATCAACCAACAACAACAAAATACTTGCAAAATATGCAAATGCAATTGGAAATATTTTGTTGTGCTTGCTTTAATTCAATGTTTCACTTGTCAATGGTGGAAATGTGGTAATTCTAATCGCAACAGCAAGAAACATTATTATGAGTGCGAGTAATGTAAAGTTGACTGTTAATATCTTTTACACTTCCTTTAATATACTTAATTTTTATTACTTTGTATTTTGTGAGAAGCAATAAGTTTTGTTTTTATTGTGTTGATATAACACATAAAAATAAATTTTTTATAACCAATATGTTGCTTTGTTATTGAGATTTTGAAAGTTTTTAAAAATTAGATACTTAATAAGCTAATAATTATCGTCTAATTATATCTAATAACTTAATTAATGTATAATTATATCTAATAGCTTTTACACTACAGTATTTGTTTTAACTAAAAAACTCATATATTCTATTTAAATGAAGTTCATTGAGTAATTTTGGTTTTCAAAATAAAAATTTGTTACATCATATTTAGTACATCATAGTTCAAAAGTTAATGTTTATCTAACTATTTTCAATATATAAATTAAACAACTTTATCAACTTAAAAAGAGCATTTTTTAAAAACTGGCTTATTTATTAAGGTTCTCCCCTAATGTATAATTAAAGGCTGGTTAAATTGTTAAAACATCAAAAATGATTTCTGTCTGAAGCCAACCCTCAGTCAATGTAGCAGAACTCCTTTATATATTTTTCCTAGATAATCAGTCAATGTATGTTTTGAACTCTGAGTCCAAAGCAAAATTTTAAAAAAATTCTTTGAATTCTTTAAAAAATATTACCCCATAATTAAAAAAGATTTTTTTTGCCAAATTTATGAAAAATTCTTTGAAGATTTAATATAATATAAGGTTAATAGAATATTAACCTTATATTATATTAAATCTAATAAGTTTTACTATTAGAGTCAGAGTTATAACTATTTAATATTAACCTTATATTATATTAAATCTAATAAGTTTTACTGTTGGAGTCAGAAAATAAGTTTTACTATTGGAGTCAGAGTCGCCATTTTGTTTAGCGATTCCACAGCCCTGATACATATATTGACTTATAGTTTGGGTTCAGCATGTATCATCTAGGTATTGAAAGAACTTTTACTACAGCAAAAAAAAAATGTTTTTTTCATTGTTTTTTCTTTTTTCTTTTTCTGAAAAATTGTTTGGATTTGAGTCAGCCTTTTATAGCTTATGTTTAAAATATAATAGGACAATGCTGATATAGATAAGGACAATAATATATTTGCTTATATTAACCTATTGATTGTTTTTAGATACAAGTTATAGCTGCTCAACTTTGTGAAGCTCTTTACTATTTGCATTCTAACCGTATTTTGCATCGTGATATGAAACCACAAAATATATTATTAACAAAAAGTGGTGATGTAAAGCTGTGTGATTTTGGGTATGTCATTTTTAGTAAAATATTATCATTAAAAACCTTTTGAAGTATCATTAAAAACCTTCGCAAGTATCATTAAAAATCTTCTGAAGACACGTTTTTCTAATCTTTGATTCTTCCTTAATCTCTATCTAATGAACAATTGATGTCTCTATCTAATATACAATAGAACAGTTAGCAAGTCAGTCATAGAATGAGAAGATCAAAATTTATATTGATTGTCTGAGAGTAAGTATTAGACAAGATGTTAGAAATTTTTTGATTCGAGACTCAAATAATAGAGAAAACATTAATTTTGGAAGGTAGTTGGAGATTTCAGAGCGTTCTCCATAGTTTTTAAAAATTGGAACCACAAATGCCATTTTCCAGTAGGCAGGAAAACAAGATTCAGATAAGCACTTTTTAAATATTTTAGAAGAGTTAAAGCAAGTTCAGAAAACATATTTTTGTAAACTATTACAGAAATGTTTGTCTAGACCACAAGCTGCAGTTTTTAATTGAGAAATGACTTCAGCAATGGAGCCAGAGTGATTTGGGTCTCTTACAATAAATTGATCTGTTTCACTCAGAAGAGTGTGACCATTATCCATAAGAGAGTGACCATTAGTCATTAGTCATAAAATCTCTAGAGTTATAATTTAATTTAAAAATTTAGTATAAAATATTTACTAATATAAGTCCATTATTACTAAATACTTTATATTATATTAAAATATAAGTATTTAGTAATAATGGAGTCATCAGCAACACTTTCTTGCATTGATTTCTTGCAATAATAAAAAGGTGTTTGTTCTCAAAGAGTTGTTCTTTTAAAAAAAATAGTTATGATTAAAAAGAGAAACACAAAAAAGTGAAAACCGTAGGGTAGAATAAGAATTGACTTTAAAGGCATCTCAAAGTGCCGAGACAAATTGTGATCATATTAAATAAAATATTTTAAAACGTTTGAACTGAATTTTTTTTAGTTAAAACTAAATAATGAATGCACACCATTAATTTTAAAACTCACATTTAAGTTAAAGCTCACTGTCTCCATTTTTTTTTGGTTCTCGGAGTCTGTATAATGTTAGCTGCAATCTGCAGACTTGATAATTTCTTCCATGCGTGTTAAATTCATAAAAGTTTTGGTATATGATGTCATTGTATAAATTTTTTTTTTTTCAAGATATTGGTTTTTTTTGCCACAATCACCAAATCATGTTAATTGTATAACCTTTAACTAAATCCCAAAAAAAAATTTTGTGATACAATTAAAAATTAAATTTAGAAAATTTATAAAAATAAAAATTTAACATAACAAATATTTGCAGTAAAACGTACTGGTTTAAACTAAATAAAAACTAAATACTAAAAGAATAATTTTACTAAAGCGTAGAAATTAATTTAAAGTATAAACTGAATAAAAAACGAGTGACTTGAATAAAACATATAAACTGAACTAAGTAGAAAATAGATATTAAACAAATTATTATACTATTAACCGTACAAACTGAATTAAAGTTAAAACAAATATTTGTACTAAAATATACAAAAAAATAGTTATAATATAAATATAAAAGTGAAGAATCGAATTAACTCGATTGCTACCAGCCCAACAAAAATCTTTCTGTAGCGACCCCATTTTTTCAATAAAATTTGAATGGCATAAAATTTGAATAGCGGTTCAATTTTTGAATAAAATTTGTATGGAATTACATGACAATTAATTAAAATTCAAATAATAAATCTCTTTAAAAGCATAACAAACTGTATATCAATAGAAAGCTAAACAAATGTATCAGGTAACCAATAAAGTTTGTGCGGTTTTGCAGGTCCATAAATACACAAAAAAATGGTTTTAGTAAAGTTTATTCTGAAAAATAGTCTCCTTTAGCAAGAATGACTTTCTCCCATTGCACAGTGAGGCAAATTGAGTAAAAAGCGGCAAAAAATAGCACTTTTAAATAAATATGGATTAAGCACATATTATACATCAAAATAGGGTTTCTTAGGGTCAAGGAATTCAAAATTGGAACTTTTTTTTTTGGATTACTCTACGCATCCGTACAGCGCGCATATATGCGTTAGAAAACTTTAACGACTGTAAAAACTCTTTATATTTTAAAACTAAACTTTTATGAACCAAAATATATTATCATTAAGTTAACGCACACATTAATTTAAAATATGGATCTAATTTATTTTTGAATACTTTAAACACCCGTACAGCGCGCATATACATGCGTATATAACACTTACGCATTAGAGAAATTTAACGACTTTAACAACATTTTACATTTCAAAACTTAACTTTTATGAACCAAAATATATTATCATTAAATTAATGCACACACAAATGCATGATTATGCACGTCATTCGTGCATGTTAGTACACGGCAGCAAGCGTAAAACTTTTAACTTGCAAAAAATTAGTAAATAATAATATAAACACTTGTAAATATTATTAAAAACTGAATATGATATATTATTCACACTTTAAGATATTAACAAGTCCAGTACATCTGAAGGCAATGCCTTCCCTTCATACTCCCTATGCTTTGCAAATGAAATGTTTGATATTTTAGGATCCTATCTAATAAAAAGAAATATTAATAAAAAATCTAATAAAATCTGATCTTTCATAGTGTTAAGTCTTGAAATTTTTGTTGTCTAGAAAGTCTTAATAAACTAATTTGAAATGCAACCTTGCATTTCAAATTAGTTTATTAAGACTTTCTAGAGCTTCTTCAGAATATTGAGCGATAGGCAAATCAAATTGCTTTAAAATGGAACAACTATGTATTTTGTGAATACTTGGTGGCATTACATACCAACCATATTTATGAACAATCATTTTAGCAGTATGAATACAGTAATTTTCAAATTTATCAAAGTCAATATGGTACCCAGAAGATATTGTAATAAGGACAATGTGCATTCTATTTATGACTTTTATATCAACCTCTGTTATTTCTGAAAAAATCTCAGAGTTCTCAAATGCTCTTCTTGCAGTATTTCCGTCATTGCTGTTACCAAAACCTACCTTAGGTTGATCGAAAATAAGACTCAACTTTACTCTGAACATTGATTGAACTAATTGTTTCTTTAACTTTACAGAAAGCTTTTCCTTCATAGTTCTGGCTTGAAATGTCTGGTTTTCCATTTTATAGCCTAAATGCAATAAATAAACTTGAATGATCTTATCCAAAAATGCAAATTTGAAATACCAAGTTTAAGGGCTTTGTTATTTTACAGGTTTTGTTTTCACAAAATCTATATATTCATCTCTTTAGGTTTGGAGCTGCACACATTACAAGACTGGGATGATTTTGTATTAGTCAATGAGTTAAATACTTTTCCGTCAAACATTGTCATATCTATTATAAAAGTAACCTTCATAGTGATCACTGAACCAGCAAAATTTATATATACTGAGAAAGATTTCAATTCAGTAATTTGAGGTTGAAGGTCACGTGCTTCTTCTTTACACAATTGTGAAGTCTCTTTTATACTGCAGGTGAATAGGTCTACAAAAGTGGCAGCTAGAACATTTTGAATTTTTCTAAAAGTCAATACCTTCAAATTTAAGCAGAAGAGGTACAATTGCTGTTACAAACAGACTACTTTCTTGTTTCATCTCTTCTGCATCATTATGGATATTAAATTTTTGTTTATATATGCTTTGACTTGAAGCTCCATCAAACCCTATTTTTACATACAAAATTCCGTTTAATTCTTTTTCAAAACATTCACTAAAATCAATCATATCAATTATTCTGGTAATAGTATGATTCAACATGCTTTGTAAAGAGCATTTTGCTGAGGTGTCAGTAAATTGAACACCTTCAGGATAACATTTTAGCTTTTCTTCTCCAAGCAGTTTGAGACTAGGATATATTTTCACATTATGAGAAAGAGCTGAGTTCCTCAACATCTGGTATTGTAAATCCCTTAATTTTGTTTGGGTTTTTAGAGCATGTGCTTCTTCTAATTTAATTGTTGTGGAATCAATGAATCGATACTTATTCTCATAAGTTCTTTTCAAAATGTAAGATAATTCTTTTTCGTCTGCTACTTTTGCACTTTTTGAAGCAGGAAGAGACAGAGCTATATGGTGTTCATTAGATTGATCTGCAATCTTTGCTTGCTTGCTTCTTTGACCAAGATCTTCCCAATCCTTAACTGGTCTTCCTTGTCTTAAATGATAAGATACAATGTCGTAATCAAAAAGATTTTCCTCCAATTTTCTTCAAACTTTAAAAATCTCTTGTAGTTTCTGCAGTATTTTTTAAGCTTAATTTTCACTTTAGAAATAAAAATCTTTAATAGCCTATTTAGTTTATCTAATTTATCTTCAGGAATTAATTCAAAAGTTTTAATAAATTCAATAAGCATTTCATTAAGTCTTTTATTATTTAATTATTTTACAGTTTTTAAAAATACACGTATTTTTAAAAATAGATCCAATTTTTTCATGTTTAAACACAAACTAAAACTTTTTGTAACAATATATAAGCCAGATTAAGACATAAAACGACTATTAATTCTCGAAAAATATGTAAAGATTTTATTGAGTATTTTTAGAAACACGTCCGAAAACTGTCTTTTTTAAAAAAAAAGGAGGGGCGGACGTTGAAGTTAATAAAACTATGCCTTACTCAGTTTGAAATATCTCTTTAAGGAGCAAGAAAGAGCAAAAAGTGCTTAGAATTATTTAGAATATAGATTAATAGTTCATTTAAACCATAATTGAACGTGGAACAACGTGGAACTTTTAATTGGCTAGTACTTATGTTTATAGTTGTGCATTTAAAATAACATTTTAAAATAATAAATCAAGAAAAAGCAATAGTTTTTTTTTTTTTTTTTGATTTATTTAAAATTAAATCAAAATACCTTACAAAGGACAAAGTAGTTGAGCATAATGTTTATTAGAGATTCAAAAATACACTTGAAGTAAGTTTAAAATAACGGTAAAAGTATGTTACATTTTAAAAATTTTATAGTCATAATTTATTTTTTTT